GAGAGAGAGAGAGAGAGAGAGAGAGAGAGAGAGAGAGAGAGAGAGAGAGAGAGAGAGAGAGAGAGAGAGAGAGAGAGAGAGAGAGAGAGAGAGAGAGAGAGAGAGAGAGAGAGAGAGAGAGAGAGAGAGAGAGAGAGAGAGAGAGAGAGAGAGAGAGAGAGAGAGAGAGAGAGAGATGTAATGAAACATGTAATGGAACCTTGAATGCTGTCTCAAAATCAATACATGGCACTGTCTCACATTTTGGATATGCTTTCAAAGCTGCATCCTCACCATATGATCCTGGAAGACCCTGTAACAAATAATTCACCAGTTAGGAATGGCAATGATGCTGTGAATCTTTTATTTGAAAGAAACTATCGAGTATCATACCTTATAAGCAACACGCACCTTTGACCCATCACTTGAAGAAGAAAGATCGTTAGCCATTAATGGTTCTGCAATTAAACAGGTTGCATGGTCATGATAAAAGGATGAAGAAGAAGGAAATCATATTAAATCACTTGTCTAGCAAAAAACAATGGTTGCATCATTACAATAAAATTTTCTTTTGAATAAAATTTAGATACAGTAATTATTTAATTATAGTTGGTGTTATTTTATGATCAAAATTTAGTAATATACATACAAAAATGTAAAATCAAAAGGCATGCATTAAAAAAACATGCCCTAAATTAATTGCCTATATATTCGAGATAGAATAGTTAATAAGCAAAGTATGATTATGAGATATCTGATATGCAAGATTGTTATAAGAAAAATAATTAAAAAAATCACCAAATGCCAACAAAACCACAGAAATGCTAAATAGGAGACATGACTCACTATGAAGCAGGTCAACATCCTTGTGGAAGAGAAACTCGTCTAACTCAGTTATCTGAAGCCAGACCCCGTGACCCCTGTTACCCCCAGAAGACTGAAACTCAGTCACAGAATCTGGCTTCTCATCTTCAACTGGAGTCAGAGCTCTCGGACCCAAAACACGCAAACAACAACATTCCCATTTGCAGCATTTCTCAAAATCACGTTTTGAATTCGCACCTAGCCTAGAATTTGCAGGCTGAAAGGTGGAAAATCCCAATTGAAGATCTTTGGCACACCCCAAGATGGAACAATCATTCAGAGCCATCAAAATCTCAAAAGCGCAAAGTCTGATGATGGAAGTCACCGAATAAGTCCACACCGATCAAAGGTTGGTGGAGAACTTGTTGTAAGCATGAGATTTTCTAGGAGATGATGATTGCGTTAATAGTCCAAGTAATATATATTTGTATATCATATCAGTTATATATGAACTGAACTACATATACATATACCTTGAATGAAATGACATTCTGGGAATTGAACAAAGAAAGAGATCAGGACAGACAACTGTTGTTAGGAATGCAACCAGGGTATTGATCTTGTAATATATTTTATGTAATTTACACGCTTTCTCCACCTTCATTTCTCTCTATATATAGGATCCAGTTCATCTACACGGTTTCAAAACAGTGTATCACAATTGAAAGAATTTTTATATTCTCGTTCATAAATGAATATATATCATAACTTCATTAGACATATATATATATATAATATATAATGTTTCAATCTGACTCATTTAAAGTTTCTTTTGTCAATACTTATCATTACTTTTTATTTATTTATTGGTTTTTCATGCATAGAACCTGAACTCTCTTTTTCCATGAACCAAGAGACAACACATTCTTTTAATATTTTTATGTATTATTTAATAAATTAAATGTAAGTTGCATTAAATAAGATATTAAAAATATTTGAAAAGTTATATCACTAATTGTAGCAACGGTTAAAACAGTAGGAGAGGGAGGAAAAATGCGGGAAGGATTGAATGTTGGTTCTTATACTTTTACTTATAAACAAATTTGGTCAAATCGAATGTCGGTTACTTCGAACTTTTTCCCCTAATTAAGAATTTCAACAACATTCCTTCGAGATACAGTGACACGTATAAGGGCCAATTCTGTGTGTATTTGAAACTAGTAGTATTCTACGCATGTTTTTTTTTAGTATTATTCAATTTATAAATTATTTAATTCAAGATTTTAATTTTAACTGTAAACATTTTTATGCCATAAACTAATTCAAAATTTACTTTAATGGTTATGCATATTAGTGTAAAAACTTTTATAATCTCAATTAATAAAAAAATTATTAAATTTTTAAGATAATTATTGGAAAAGTTAATGAAATTAATTAATATATATAGTGATGGTAAATTATAATTGAATGACGTAAGGTACAAAGTTATTTTACATTGTCAAATGCATAACTTAATTTTTCTTGAATATTATTCTTTTTTTAGTTTTTAAAATAATCATTATAAAAATAAGTAATTTTATTACACATAGTAATTTATAATAAAAATATAGTATAAAAAACATTTACTATCTGCATATATTTTAATTAAATTCATACTTATCATCACTCAAATCAAATTTAAGTAGATAGTAGATACAACGCTTTATTATTTTCCTTTATGTGTTAAAATGTCTTACATACAATGAATTAATTGAAGAATTACAACGTGCATGAAGGAAGATTGACCATAACATAATTGAAGGAAAGTACTAAATGCTCTTAAATAATTAATTAACTTGACAAACATCTCAATTATTTAATAGAAAAATATTGAAAATTCATGCATTTAGTATTTTAAAAATATTTAAAATTACTTTCTTTAATTTGTGGAATATATTTTGCATGTAGCAAGAGTAGTGTCTCTAGCCATGACTAATCATTTTCAAATTTCAAGGGATGAAAATTATGAAAGTAAAATTTGCATCTCTTTATAAAGTTGTTTACAAAAAAAGTGATAGGTAATAATGAAAAGTTGTGTTTTTGGACGAATTTTACCTTTAATATATATACTTTAGGTATTGTTTGATTTAATTATCTTATTTTCCTTAAAAATATTCATCAAGCATATATAGAGAAAAGCTTTTAAAATGTTAAGAAGCATAAATTTTTATAAATAAATACAAATTAAAGTAGCTTTTGAATTTTTTTTTGAAGTAATGTTAAAAATAAATTAGATATCTTGATGTTTCTCTGTTTCATCTTTAACTAGTCAATGTAAGATAATAAAAAAGAACTTTTAATTTAAATGGGATTTTATATTAGAATTGAAAATAATTTTACTTTATCTTTAAAAAAATATATTTTAAACCTTAACGTTAAAGTAACTTTTAAGTTAAAAAAAATAATAATAAAAGCTAGCTTAAAACATAATCTAACTTTTAAAATTGCACATTGATAAAGACTTTATTTTAATTACTAGTGAGAAATGAGAATTTTATGAATCGCCTCTTTCTATATAAATATTAAAAAATGAGAAAGAAAAAAATTAGGCTAAAGAAGGTCAGTTATATATATAGAAAAGATAAAATGATTGACGGAATGTACAAAAAAAAAAAGTAATAATATACACATCATATAAATAATAAATTAAATTTTTTTAATCCTAATTATAAGTAAAAATAATTAATTTTAAAAGTTATTAAAGGATTTTATAATATCTATTCACTTATAACTATCATTAAATATAACAATATTAAAATAAAATTTAAATTTATGATAAAATTAATTTAAAATAATCAACTTAATTATTTTTTATATTGATAATTTATCTTATATTATTTATAATTAAGATCAGAGATATTATTAATTAGTTTTAATATCACCGTTTGTTTGACAACTTTATTTTTATATGAAAATATCTGGTTAAAGATTAAGAATACAAAAATATAATTATTTTAAAAAGTATTTGTTGCTATTCCTTTTTTTGGTAGAAATGGAAAATTCAAAAGAAAGGACAGTACGAAAAGTCAAGATAGGCCACGACAAGCCAACTACGTGATACTCATGCTGTCTAACGTGAGCTGTTCAATAACTTCATTAGGCGGTGACGGCCACGTGATGTCTCCTCCGCTACATGTTTTCTTCGCAAGTATATCTGCTACCTTATTTGTTTCTCTGTTGATGCAGTTAATTTTAGTATTCCAGGTCTTTCTCCGAAGATGGTTGATCTCATCAATAACCTCCAAATGAGAATGTCTCAGGTTATTTCCTTCGATTATACACTTCATGGCTTCACGGCAATCAGTTTCGCAGATTATGTTTCTCCAACCTTTATTCCAGCAGATCTCCAGGCCAAGTTTAATGGCATATAATTCAGCTAGAATATGGTCCCCTCTTCCCATGTTTTTCGAGAAGCCAAAAATCCATTTTCCATTGCGATCCCGAATAGATCCGCCAATCGTCATAACACTAGATGAAGGATTGAAGCTGCCATCCACATTAACCTTAACGAACTGGTCGGCTAGGGGTTGCCATTGATTATTTTCATCACTGTCCCATTGTGATTTCTTCATAAAACTTAGGTCTGCCATGGTTGTATAAACATGGCGGATCACTTTATTAATATCCCACTTTTCTTCATCAAATATGTGATTGTTCCTCCATCTCCAAGCCCACCACATAGTAGTGATGATTTTAACAGTATTTTTATGTTTTAGGATATTTGTAACCCAGGTGAGGATATTGTCTGTCATCCATAAATTCTTTTCAAGTAGATCCAATTTATTCCACAGTTCCTTTGATTTGGGGCAATCCCGGAGGGCGTGGATTGCATCCTCGGTGGTTGCAGAGCAACGGGGGCAAGATTCCAAGATAGACATGTGGCTAGCCTTCCTCTTACTATTTGTCGGTAATGCATTGTTAAGAATAGACCAACAAAACACTCTTAATTTCTTCGTAATTTGAAGTTGCCAAATTTGCTTCCAAATGGGGTGAGGGTAAAATTCAAGGTCACCTTGAAGCCAATTATAAGCTGAAGAGGTTGTGTATTCTCCAGAAATTGTCTTGCTCCATCTGAATGTGTCTTGTCCCACTGGTGTTGGGGGGACTTTAACTTTAAGGATCTTTTGTTCAATGTCTTTGGTAATATTTGTGTGCAAGGTTAGAAGGTTCCATTTGTTGTTCACCCATATGTCAGCCAGACTGAGTTGGGTGTCAGAAATATGCACAAAAGGGACTTTAGTGCAGAGTGGCCCATCTCCAAGCCAATCCTCGTAAAAGACAGAAGATCTTCCCAAACCAAGTTTCGGTTCAAAGCCATATTTGAGAACCTCCACTGCCTTCTTAATACTTTTCCAAACGTAAGATGGACATTTGATGGTCAGAGGGGTCAATATGGAATTTGATTTCAGATATTTATGCTTCAAAAATTTTACCCAAGGAGTTTCAGGATTCATGATATATTTCCATATTTGCTTCCCTAGTAAAGCAATATTCATATTTCTGGCTTCCCTAATGCCAAGCCCACCATGAGCCTTCGGTTTCGTAACTTGAGACCAGTTAACTAAATTCCAACTACGGGAAGTGCCATCTTTAGACCAAATAAATCTGCGACAGAGTTGATTGAGATGGTCACAAGTTCTTTGTGGTAGCCAATATGCTTGCATAGTATACACTGGGATAGACGTTATGACTGACTTTGCCAGGCAAATCCTTCCAGCTCTATTCAAAAGTTTTCCTTTCCAGGAGGCAATTCTGCTCTTAACTTTGTTGGTGACATGCTCAAAGTCCTTATTTGTAGCTCTACCACTGATAAGGATATGGCCTAAATACTTTCCCACAGAGTTGGCTTTCTTGATCCCTAGTAGGTTCTCAAGCTCCTCAAGTCTTGAGTTAATTATCTTCTTCGAGCAAACAAACTTGGATTTTTGTTGGTTTATCTTGAGACCCGAGGCTCTACAAAAATCCTCTAGGGTCCTCTCCATAACTCTGGCTTGGTCTTCCGTAGCTTCGCCAAATAGTAAGAGGTCGTCAGCAAACATTAAATGTGAAAGAGGAGGGCCACCACGAGAAAGGTGAGCAGGTTTCCAACTATTGTTGTCCACTAGCTCATTGATTTTCAAAGCAAGTCTTTCCATGCATAGAACGAACAGGTAAGGGGAGAGAGGGTCCCCTTGCCTAAGCCCTCTAGAAGGAGTGAAGCCTTCCAAAGATGAACCATTCCAAAGGATCTTTAGGTATGAACCAGTAACACCCCACATGATGAGCTGAATGGTACGCTCAAGGAACCCGAATAGATTAAGCGTTTCGCAGAGGAAACTCCAACTGACTCTGTCATACGCTTTTTCGAGGTCTATTTTTACCATGATCATTCCTTTGCGAGATTTATCATTATGAATATTATGTACAGCCTCCTGCGCCAAGATGAGGTTGTCCGATGTACCTCTTCCAGGGATGAAACTGCTTTGATATGGACCAATGATGGTTGAGAGGTAGGGTCTAATTCTGTCCACTAGAACTTTGGTGATTACCTTGTATGCTACATTGCATAGGCTTATGGGTCTGAAGTCCTTGAAATGCATGGGATTGTCTGATTTAGGAATTAACACAATGTTTGTGTCAAGAAGTCTTTGATCCGCTCGCCCTTGAGAGAAAGCATTTTGGACCAGATTATGAAGATCTCTCCCAACAA